TAAGATAAAAACACAACAATCAATATATACAAAATAACAGTCACTTCAATAACTTTGGGAATGTACATTAGTGCAAGATTGTCCATAGCAGCGTAAAAAAGTAATAAAAAAATAATGTTGATACACAAATACTCCTATGATCTCAATTAATCCATATACTGATGCATTAGAGATGAGTCCTCTCACAGAGGATGCTGAGGGCGATCTTAAAAACACTTAAGAATAGGTTGTGATCCCTTAACTGTGGCTACTAATAGTTTTCCTCCTCTGTAGGTAAGGTCTTAGTGTCCAATTCTGCATTTGTCCAAAGTACTTCCCCTTGGTACTCAAACATTAACACTAGGAATACCATTTTACTTTCCTTGAAATTAAAATTGTTCGATTTTGTTCACATTATAGGGATCGGGGAAGGTCCTAGACCTACAAGGCCTCTCACAAAGTAGGTGAGTCCAAAAAAAAAGGTTGTGAAGGCTACCCTGCATCATGGTGCTGTTATCGTGGATCAACACTAAGTCAGTGGTTCTCAAATGGGGGTACGCGGACCCCTAGGGGTACGTTGGAGTACTGCAGGGGGTACGTGAGATTTATTTTATGTTAATGAAAAAAACAACATAAGTAATGCATTTAAACAAACTACTAATAGTAGATGAACTACTTTATTCAAAGGTTTACAGTCATTCTGGATAATAAAATGGGAAAAGTAAACGGGGTGCTCTCTTTTCCTCTCCCTCTCCTGACAGCCGGTCAGTCTCGTGCAGCTCGCTGAACCTGTAATAAGTGACCCGACAGTAAAGAATAAATATATGTATAACTAGTTTAGCTAGTTCCAGAGTAGATAAACTAGCTAAGTGTGTTAGGTCTAACTCTTAGTGTATTTCATTTTGCTCCGCTCAACGGTCCGTCACAGCGGCGGTGCTGTGATCATGCAGAGCTGCGTGTTCTCCATCAGCAGCAGCTGATCTGATCTCTGATCTCTCTCTCGCGTCCGGTTATACTTCACTCGCGTTTATGTCCAAATCTATCAGATCTAGCTAGTTCTAGTTAATTATATGACTGCCTGCTTATCAAAGGACCTAAACAATAAGTGTTGCTTGGCAACGGCGTGTGGCCGCAAAGTATAGCGCAGCATTATGCATATGTTTATATGAGGGGTCAAAATCCCATGCTCATAAAATGCTCATATATTTTTTTCTCTTCGTTCCCCACGCCCCAAAATAAATAAATATACCAATTTTAGGAAAAGTAACGAAGTTTGAGCAGTGTGGGTTTTATATTAACAGAGTTACACATATTTCAAAACGCGAAGTGTAATAACTGCAGTTTGCCTCCCTGTCACCGAGAATAACAAAGATCCTCAGTGAAGCACAAGCCCATGTTTCTCACTAAGTACAACTTATTAAAAAGATCAGTTCAATGCAACTAATGTCGTCTTAGTGTTATTGCATGATGTTAAAATTGGATTGCCATGAATTTAGTGATGGATTGTACACAAATTGTTTTTGCGCTGATCAGGGGGTACTTGGCTGAATTTTTTTTTCAAAGGGGGTACATTATTGAAAAAAGTTTGAGAACCACTGAACTAAGTGGTATTTGATGTTGTTGTTTTCCCATTGGTGTATTACAGGCTACTTCCATACATACTGTTACCTGTCTATGTTATAATCATATATGTCACATTTAGGTAAGTTAGTGTGAAAAACAAATCTAGCATACACATTTTCTGCCATATAAACTATTCAATGGGGGTCTGAAGTTTCCTGAAGATTGTTGTTGTTTACTTTTCACAGTTTAGGAGACGGGGAAGGTCCTAGACCTACGAGGCATCTCACAAAGTAGGTGAGTCACCTCAGTAAGCAGACCTTTGACCCTTCAAAAATTCTTCTCGTTATGTTTACGAGGACACGGGCGTCACCCCGCGTCGTTATTTTCCTTACTCATCAGTTTAAGGCATAAGTGGTACCTGGTCAAAGACGGCACTACAGACAAGGCCCGGGTCTTCTGGGTCACGGTGTCAACCAGTTGTTTATAGGATTCTTTGTTTTAATGTTCATTTTACTTAAACACATACCTATAAATAGTAAAACCAGAGAAACTGATAATTAAAATACCACTATGAAAACCCTAGAGCTAATTCACATCACTAGTTCCAATATATACACTTAATGTTTTTCATATCACATGTCATTTTTGTCTCATTTGTCCTACAGTGGGGACATTTATAGCAAAGGGGACAGTGCAGCTAAAAGGTTAAAATAAGATGAGTGGAGGAATTCTGTATTTTATTTATATCTTGTGTTTTGGCACATAAAGCTATACACAGGACAACATGGCTTATCAGAATTACAATCCGAATACTTTACTTATCCAGGTGGGAAATTGTGATTTGTGACAGATTCTACCTTTTAGAATAAAATAAAATATGATATAAACACATAGGAACTTAAACTAGAAATGTGTAATTTGAAAACCTGAAAGGACGTCATATAGGACACTAAAAACAATTCACTACTACAACTAGGCTTCTTATAAATCTTATAATATTGACCTTATTTTGGAGTAAATAACATTGAAAAAACAAAGTATTACATAACAATTAAATAAGTACACTCCCATGTTTAAAATAAAATGCAGCACCATAATAAAAGGAGTGAAAAAGCAGCCAGTACCAATAATAATTTGGAAAAATACTTCAAAAAATACCACTATAAAAACACTAGTGTTAATTCACATCACTACTTGTGACGTCATGTTAGTATATATACACTAACGTGTTTTTTCATGACGTCACGTGTAGTTTTTGTTAGCGTTCATCGCTTGTTTAGCCCTCCAGCAGCAGCTCGGTGTGTTTTGGTCAACATCAGCTAGCAGCTAGGCTAAGAGGCAGAACCCAGCAGTGACGGTTTGAATGAGAGATGTCAACACACTGATGTACAAACACACACATTCTGAATGACATCATGTGCGAAAACATGTGCATTAATCTGGGTTTATTTGGAGGTCATTAAAAATGCGTGCAGTGCAGACAAATCGGTGCTTTAAATGAATCAATGTTTTTTGAGCAGAGTAGCAAGACATAAACACCCAGTCCTCCTGACTGAGACATGTTTCAGGAAATGTTCCGCTAATGTCTGTTTTTAAATGTTTTTCTGGTCATTTAGAATATACACAGAGCATCTTACCGGGTAATTTGAGGGCACGGGACAGTGCTGCAGCCATTTCTCCTCTAACGGATCCGAGAGGCAGCGACGAGAGGCAGCGGTCGGTGATAATCAACTGAAGAGAAACACCGCGCAGCAGGTTAGAGCTGCCCCGCTGCATCATGGGACATGGAGTTTTTGTTTCTTTTGCCATGCTTTTTTTTCTTATATTTGTTGTTTGTTTGTTGTTTACAATACAGCAAATGTGATATAAAAAACGAAACAATATGCAGATGTAAAACCAGGAGATAATATTGAGGAAAATCTGTATCTAAACAGTTTTTTTAAAACTACACATATAACTTATACACAAAAGTATTTGTAGTTTTCCATATGGCAGTACTAAGAGTAAAGATACTGTTTATTTGTTTGTACCATCCTTTTCTTACTTACAATACATAGAATCGGAGGGATGAAACCCTCTTTAATGGTCACACATGCAGAGCACACAGCACACACAGTGACATTTGTTCTCTGCTTTTAACCCATCGTACTAGGAGCAGTACAATCACTTATAGGGTAATATAAGTGATTGTATTATCTGATAAAATGTTGAATACTGTAAAATGTATCAAACAAACTAACTAAAAAAAACTATTTTTCTTTTTTGTATTACTTTTAATATAATATACTTTAATATTGTTTTAATATTGTCTGCTTATCTGTATTATTGTGTTGCATTGGTGGAGAAGCCTGTGACCTAAGATTTTCAACGACATAATTACTCTGTAGCTATGTTAATTTGACAATAAAGAACCTTGAACCTTGAACTAAACTATTACAACGAAATTAGCCTATTTTAGGGCTATTTCTGTGAAACCTAGTAGAACATATTCAGGTATCATTCTAAAACCATCTGGCAAAAGCAATACCTCTGCTCTTAGGATGTGATTTTAAGTATACAACACACACAAAAAAAAAAGTTGTGAAGGCTACCCTGCATCATGGTGCTGTTATCGTGGATCAACTAAGTGGTGTTTTCCCATTGGTGTATTACAGGGGCTACTTCCATATATACTGTTACCTGTATCTAGTATGTAATAATCTTGTATGTCACATTTAGGTAAGATAGTGTGAAAAACATCTTGCATACACCTTTTCTGCCAAAGGAACTATTCCAACCAAAGTTCTCGAATTTCCTGAAGATGGTTGTTTGTTTACTTTTTACAGTTTAGGAGACGGGGAAGGTCCTAGACCTACGAGGCATCTCACAAAGTAGGTGAGTCACCTCAGTAAGCAGACCTTTACCCCTTCAAAAATTCTTCTCGTTATGTTTACGAGGACACGGGCGTCACCCCGCGTCGTTATTTTCCTTACTCATCAGTTTAAGGCATAACCAGTCAATCGTCGAAGACGGCACTACACACAATGCCCGGGTGTTCTGGATCACGGTGTCAACCATTGCTCATTGGCAACATATTATTTTCGCTTCCACCAACAGCTCATTGTGTGTGTTAGTAATGTGTGTGCATTGATTGTGTTAATTACATGTTTTAAAGACAGTGAAGTATATTTATTGCACATAACAATCCGCATTTTTTGTGACAATATCGCGCAAAGGCTCAAGGGTAGTGAAACCATTATCTCATTTGCTTTTAGTCAAGAGCCATCAATCGCAGAATATTCTTTTATCACACGGGCAGTGGTTTTGCAATGACATCTTAATGCTCTTCCAATCAATTCACATGTAACAGTTATAAGTGAATACATGATCAGTAAATTATGATTTTGAATACAAAACAACTAAAGTGAGTTTCGAAAACCGTGTTTGCATTCTGGCCCAAATCGTTTACCGTAGCGCCAGCGAAAATCGTATCCTATACGCATGCGCAGTGAGGCTGTGTTAGAAAATGGCAGACGTCTCCCTGGATGAAGTTATACGACAGCGCGGTATTAACCTCAAGGCACCAGCGAAACGGTAATAAAACACATCCACGAGCTGATACATATTTGTTTATCAAGGACAAGGAAGCTTGTAGTAACATTTCTTAAGCAATAACGTGAATTGAGAGCTTTTATTGTTGGTAAAATACCGCAAGCTAACAGTAAGCTAAAGGCTAGCTTGGCTACGATGTATATTTGAGCTTTAGGCCTTTTTCTCCGAAGCATTCACTGTTAAATATATAAAATATGAGCAGAGGTGTTAAGTAACTACGTACATTTTGCAGCATATAAAGTAATTGAAACTAGCTGCACCGTTACCATCTTTGATAAAACATAATATATATATATTATTCTGAAATGGGCCAATTTGTACAAGTATTTTTACTTTTGGTACTTTAAGTATATATTTGATGCCAATACCTTTGTACTTTAGTAACCTTTTACATGCAGGACTTTCACTTGAAACAGAGTATTCCTACACTCTGGTATTTCTAATTTTACTCAAGATAGGAGTACTATCCCACCTCTGAATATGGGTAAATTCAGGAAAATCCTACAAAACGTATATAAGTCGCATCAACACAAACTCTTGTGACGAGTTAGCTTGTGTTTGTAGCTTCATTCGCCAGGTGTAGCTAGCTTGCAAGCTAATATTAATCAAGCTAGCTTTTACTCAAGGTACAACCACTAGGTTAAACTAGGGTGGTGGCTTGTTCAAACAATTGTTTAAAACGTATACACAATTTCCTTCCTCCACTATTGTGTGAGAAAGTACAGAGGAATCTATATACTCGAATTGTTTGTGCAAATAGCAGGGCCCGATATGACTGCTCTTAAATGTGTTTTCCTTTTCCTGGGCGACAAAACACATTATTTCAGCATTGCAATTAAAATAAAAACTCTTCTAATTTAAGTGTTACTGTCAAAATATTGAACTTTTCATGTGAGTTTTCATGAACTTTAAAATGTCGAATAAAGCCCTGTCTTCAGAATCCTGGTGGGTTTTGCTTTAACATTGATTCACTTAAATAAACTCTTGTTTTTCTGTGTGTCAGACCAATGTTTGGAAGAGGTGCAGGAGCGGTTGGCAAAAGCTTTGATGCTCGCCAGAAGATTGGGGCTAATGATGTCCGACAGCGGCTCGGACCAGGAGCAGGTAATGGCATTATTGGCTGAAATCACATGCCTTTTTATATTGAGTAAAAAAAAACAAATCAAGTTTAGAGGATTTATACGTCTTTCGCTCCTAATTTTCAACATTTGATCCCTCAGGATTTCAAGTGAAAGATGCCAGGGAGAAGCTGGTTCAGAAGGATGCTCGCTTTAAAATCCGTGGCAGGGGAGGAGGAGGAGGGGGGGTGCAGGATGCTCGGCAGATGATCAACTCACGCAAACAGGGGCCAAATCTGTTCGCTGTCCCTGCACAGACAATGCCAAAGATGGCAGTAACACAACATCTGCAGGGCCAGACATTTGTGCCACAGATGCAGATACAAAGCAACTATAATCTGGCCGGTCTGAACTCGAGGCAGTTTAACCCGACTGCACAAGGACTTGGTTTGAGGGGCAGCGCGTCGCCACAGCTGAGCACTAATAAGAGAGTGATGGATGCTCGGGATAGACTGAGCCTCAAGAGGAACATTGGAGGGACACCGACACAGGCAGATTTTGAACACCCCCTCAAAATAACCAAGACCATCCAGGTAAGTGACTCTCTTCTTAGAATCAAACGGCTCTTTCTATCTCGTCGTTTCCCTTCTTGCTGTGGATTGTTTCAATGGGCTAGTGTAAGCTGTTTATGACGCCAAATGAAGTGATATAGACCTATTGTGTCTAGAATATACATGCAAGTGAGACAGCTTGCATAGACTTGATGAAGTGTAAAAGCACACTGACATGCTGTATTCTAATATTTGATGCCTTTTATTTACAGCAACGTCCAATGGGAGTAGGATTGTCAAGTGGAATGCGGTCAAATACACAGGTAGAGTGTTTTTCTTGGCATGTTTTAAGAAAACTATTTTTCTTTCTCATGACTAAGATTGGTAAACATGGTATTCAAATGTTTGTTGTCTCCCACAGCCTCTCTCAGATGAGCACGATGGCCCCCACAATAAACAAGTAAAGATGGCTACAGCTAATCATATGCTCAAGTCACGGGTAAGAGCTGCACTCTGTCTGAATCAGCACACAGACCAAATGAATGATTGTATTTTTGCTACATGAGTGTCTGTCTCCTGCATTAAATGAACTTCCTTTCCTTCACACAGCCTGGAACAATGGGCTCCACATTCTCCATGTCAGGTCCGATCACCAAAGTGGTTCAAAATGATTCGTACACGGCCCCTTCCCGCCCTCCTCCCCCCGTGGCCCCCACCCGACCGAACCCCAGCATGTCTGCCGGGCGGCCCTCAGCTGCAGCCTTAAAGCCCGTCTCCAGGACTCTGCAGCAGAGCTCAGCAGAAACCAGCCCCCCTGCTCCCGCCCCCCCACAGGTAAACATTTATCAGTATGCACACCATGCCTTTTATGTGAGAATTTGGTTTGGGGTACTGGAACAAACTCCCAGAAACCTGCAGGTCCGCTGCAACTCTCACTACTTTTAAATCCAGGCTGAATTGCCGCTGCTTTTAATTGAACTATTCACATCTTACACTGCACTGTAACTTGTATTCATGTCCTGTGTTATTCATGTTTTATTATCTTTTGCTTTTTAATGTTTCTAATGTGTTTTTTGCTCTTACTGTCTTTCATTTTTGTAAAGCACTTTGAATTGCCTTGTGTTGCTATATAAATAATCTTGCCTTGCCTATCTTTTGTAGATTGACCGCAGCTAAACATAATATTCAGTGTAATCTGCATTTGGCACGCGGCAAGACGTTCAAAGCTGTAGCTGTAATGATGGCAAACATGACTATCTTTGCATTTTGCACAACCTTACCACTCTGCCTTTTTTTTTTAATCACATATGCTTGATAATGAGATGTTATATTTTTTCCAGCCTAGTTTCAGTCCTCTGGAAGGGACCAAAATTACGGTGAACAACCTGCACCCCCGCGTCACTGAGGAAGACATAGTGGTGAGTTCATCTCAGTGACTGCCAATAACATTTTGGTACATTTGCTATTGAGTAAAGTGCTATAGTGCTTTGATCACTCTTTTAAAGTGTGTTTGTTCTCATCCGTTCGTCCTCAGGAACTGTTCTGTGTGTGTGGGGCTTTGAAGCGAGCGCGGCTGGCGAAGGTGGGCGTGGCCGAGGTTGTGTTTGTGCGTAAAGATGACGCCGTTAGCGCATACAGGAAGTACAACAACCGCTGCCTGGACGGTGAGTGCCAGTAGCAAGGATGCACTTTAAATGGCTCTCTGGGTTTTCACTGGCTTCTGTCAATGACTAAAGGGTGGAGTTTTCTGATTCATTTTCCAAATTTGACCTACTTAGTATCACAGAGATTGCCATTATCAAGCTTTATAGAGTTTGAACATGTTCTTTTTTTGCTTATCTTGTCTTCTTGTCCTCCCTCAGGTCAACCCATGAAGTGTAACCTCCATATTCAGGGCAATGTCATCACTTCTGATCAGCCCATTCTATTGTAAGTGAGCCCACCAGGCTTCATTTGTTCATTTCACATTGATCTGTACTTACTGCACATACTCTATTTCCTCTGCACTCGATCTAAACCACTCGTATATTTTAATTATCAAGAAAAGTGACATTGCTTCTACTTAATTTGCAAATACTTTGTTGTACATTGAGCCGCCTGTGATGAGGCAATTACTCAGAGACCACATTTTGTATTTAGGTTATTCAGTCTAATCAGTGGCCATTCTGTTTCCAATTTGGCCACTCCCAATACGGTTTGATTAAAATAATGTAATCACTTTTAGCTTCAGGGAAATGTGAACGGCATTGGCTACAGTGTAAGAATGTAAGGCTCTTTGCATTGCAACTGTCACTGCATTTTTTTTTTAAACAAAGTTGATGTTGTTGCCGGTCAGCGTGTCCGGGACATTTTAATATCCCTGGACAAATGAGAGAAATGAATCGAACAGTATGAGCTTAAAAACAACTGATATGAAGGCATGTAGATGTATGTGTTATTGAAAAGTAGGCTTTCAAATAGATCCTGTCCTGTCACTACACTCCTGCATAACGCTCAAAACAAATAAATACTAGGCAAGCATACGCCGTAACACTTAAAGGTAGGGACACGCCAATCTGACACCAAAGAACTCACACAGACGGACCCGACTGTTGTGTCGCCTCACGTCTTCTGCGTCTTGGCCAACAGTCGCACTGGAACACACCGCAAAGACTTCAACCGACGGCCAAGTAGCACGTACGAACTGCGCATGCGTGAATGGCAATAACTCTCCTTACCAGCAGGTGGCGGTAGTGTGTATTCGTCATTCAAAAGAGGCAACAACCGGAAAAAAGACCGAACCTGTGTCGAGAGCTGGAGTTAAATGAAATCTCAGATTTGCCTTCTTAAATAGTTTGTTTACGTCCCTCACTTCCGTTTCGCTTCTCATGCACGGATTCGCTAGCTGAACAGCCAATCAGAGTGATTTGTTTGACCGACAGCCTTTGGCCGATTGCTTTGTTTTCAGCCAAAAAGGTGTCGGCAGGGCCGAAAAGACACGACGGTGCGGGACACACCAATCTGAGTAGGGCGACAGGACGCTCATCGACGGCCTGACATCCATCGACGGCCAAAATCGGCTTGGTGTGTCCGGGGCTTAACACAAAGAAATCAACTTAGCTCTTAGCCTACATATTGTCATCTACATTTAAACAGAATAAAAACGTATAAGATATACTTTATTGGTCACAAACTGGGAAAATAAGAGTAGAAATATAGAATATAAACATCTCAAAAGAGAAAATAAAACGGAACTAAAAAAGAAAATCTATACAAGTTGACCGTGAAAGATAAAAATCTGTACACTATCTGACAAATAAACACTATGAAAGGCTAAACCAACATACATGTAGGCAAGGCAAGTTTATTTATACAGCACTGTCAACACAAGGCAATTCAAAGTGCTTTACAAAAATGAAAGACATTAGGAGCATGAAACACATTAGAAACATAACATTTTTAGGCCTGTACCACCTCATACCAGTTTAATAACCAGCTGACAGAAACACTATATACAGGCTTCCCGCGGGGTCTTAAATATGATAAAAAAAATAAGGTCTTAAAAATGATGGGATTTGAAAGGTACTTCTGTGTTGCGATCGCGTCTAAATGTGTTTTGGGGGAAATGTCCGGGCTGCAAAGTAACCAGTACGGTAAGAGCCTTTCAGTTCCCCCCAACAATTTGTATTGAAATAAATCAACATGGAACCAGTAATCATTAATTTTGTTTCCCCCGACCCCTTATCGGAGAACACCCAGCTAGTAACCTAGCAACCAAGCTTCAGCTAGCGGCAGTCAGAAATTAGGTATCTTCGAATCTACTTACAAATAAATATGGGGAAGTGTAAATTCAACCGTATTTGGTTGGAAAACATCGAATTTAGTGCTTGGTTGAAACCAGTGATGGGGAATGTGTGTGTAGCCCGCTGCACCTTTTGCAAACAAAATTAGCGTTTGTTTTGCTAATGTAGCGTTAGCTAGTGCAGCGTTGGCTAGTGCAGCTACTTCCGCAACAACATCGGGGGACCTCCGGGCGACGTTTGAGTCTACGTCAACCCTAAAAGCGGAGGTGCTGTGGACGCTAAAATACCGTAGCTAAACACCAATCATACAACAGCATGAAGACAGCAGAGCTCTGACTATAGCTCTTGTCACACACACACACACACACACACACACACACACACACACACTCACACACACACTTTTTGTCTAGCACAGTTCAGTGTACTGTTATGCTGTTATGTTCAGTCATCGTTCTTATGTTGAACATGAATACATTGACTTTGTAAGTAATTATGGGACGAATTTCTTCTTTCCTAGCAATTTTCCTTCATACTTTCTTGCCGTGAAATAGGTCTTACATTCTATTCAAAGTGGTCTTAAAAAGTCTTAAATTTGAGTTGGTGAAACCGGCAGGAACCCTGTATATGGGTTATATATATATTTTACGCCTTTTTGTGCTCTTCCAGGAGGCTCAGTGACACCCCGGGCGCCAGCAGCGGCGGCGGCGGCACAAAGAAAGACGGCCTCCCCCCCTCCCTCATGTCTCGCACTGCCGGACAGCGAGCCTCCTCTCAGCCGACCCCCGAAGTGGATCCTCAGACGATCCTCAAAGCTCTGTTCAAGTCCACCTCTCAGTCCAGCTCCTCCAGCGAGAGCCCCAGCGCACAGGCCACCGCCTTCCGCATCAAGATATAGATCCAGTGTCTGTTCATTCACACATTACTGCTTTCTCAGTGTTCTCGTACAAACGCCCACATTCTACTCATGTGAAACAGGTTTTTACACATTTGATAAACGTGACTTCTCCAGGCGGGACATTTTGTGGATGCACAACATGTTGATGATGTTTGTTCCTGATTAGAGGAAGGAAAGTGTGATGTGATTTGTTTAATCCAATGTCTTGGGGGATGCCAAATTAATATTATATTGGGATTTTTTTTTTCTTTCTGTCAATGCAATACCAGCCCATTTTGATAAGTTTAGTTTTTTTTTTTAATACTCCAGTTTATTTCCCCCCCTTTCCAAGATAAAGGATATGACAAAAAGACCTAGAAAACCAATTGAGACGCATTGGAGTAATTTAGGGATACATTTTGTGTAAGGCTCGTCCACACAGGTGCGTTCAGGTTTGTCTGTACCTTTTCAGAACAGGAAATTAAGCAGACATTCAATGTGGGTTAATCACAGATGTTCATAAAACGACATGTTTTCCGTGAACCAGTTTTCAAACAGTCCTATTGTGTTTGTTTTTTATTTACCGTCTTTGTAGCATCGAGGTTCCTGTGTGCTGCGTTTGTGACTGGTTTTACTTGGTTGTCCAGTAAAGAAAGCAGTATGCATTTAATTCTTCCTAGTATACTTTACACATGCTTTTTGTTCAAAGATTGTAAATTACTTTCTATTGCTTTCTTGGTATGTAAGTCAAGAGACTGGAGCGGTCAGATCTGTCTGTGAAATGTCAGCATTAAATATCTAGCTTTGTAGATTGCTGTCTGAGTCTTTCCTGCCATGTGATGAAGGATGAAATGCATTCTTCTAGAAACCAGACTAAATGGTTTATTGATTAACAGCATTTATTCTTTCCTACTATCTTTTAGTTTATTTGAATTTCTCGATTCTATAAACTAACCATAGCTGTTCAATTTATATTTGTAGTTACAATTTTTTTAATACATCAACTTTAATATTACCATATACAATGAAATAGCCCCAAAAATGTGGTTATTGTGAAGCTGGAATTCTCGTTGGCTGATCTGCTCGGGAATTTACAAATCAACCTTAAAGGGGACCTATCATGCAAAATGCACTTTTTTATGTCTTTTATACATAACTATGTGTCCCCGGTGTGTCGGGGAACTCGCGCAGCGTCAGAAAATAAAACCCTCTCTCTTTTCCTCCGTACCCAAATCTCTAAAAACGGGGGTACAACGGAGCTGATCCAGATTTGCGTCCGATATGACGCAATATCGGAAATGTAGGCTGGCTTTACACCCACGGCCCTATCAGAAACAATGCCCGACTGTTTTGGATGTAATATGGATGGTGTTTACATTAGCATCGCTAACACTCAGAGCTAACCTGTACTGGAGAGCATGTGTGTGAAGAAGCAGGAAATAAAAAGGAACTCACCTTGTGGTATAACCGGCAAGAGAGAAAGCCTTTGAGCTCCATACTGTTTCAGAAATAATCCTTGATAATCCATGATATGGCGTTTCATCACGGCAGTATTTAGTTTAGACAGTAGCTGCCGGCATGAGCTCAGCCCCCTCCTTTTTTATTTTTTATCAATTTCCTTTTTAAAAAAAAAAAAGCTTTATACCTCAAATCAACACTTTTGAAACAGGAAGTGAAATAGAGGGATATGAGGCATGGCTAGAATGGGTGATCTGTTTGGTATTTTGAGCAAAACACTATATTTTTCTATATATCTGAGACCTATGCTTTTGCCTAAAAATAGCATGATAGGTGCACTTTAATATTACCGTCTTTAGTTATGAGGTTAAATGGAAACTGGAATGTACTGATGTGCTCAACATTTTATAAATAAAATCATTCATCTTTAAAAACAAATGTAATATATCAATCAATCAAAACTGTATTACAGACTCAGGGTCCAGATAAAAAACAAGACATTACATATCATAAATTACATACACAGCATAAAAAAAAATTCATAGTTTAAGAATAATTTAAATCAGTGTCCTACAAAGAGACAACTATACCAATGTCTCCACAGCTGTGATTGGTAGCGTGTAGTACTAAACCTTATGTTTGATAAGGCCAAGAGGATTTCATTATCAGAGTCATTAAGCCGGCAAATACATTTATACATGACATTTCTGAAAACAGCTTGTCGAGTATTGACTCCTGCAGCCACAAACATTTCACTTGCACTAGACCAGGGGTGTCAAACTCAATTTCATCGCGGGCCACATTAGCATTATGGTTGCACTCAAAGGTCCGGTTGTAACTTTTAAGACTATATAAATATACTTATATAAATATATCATATATATAAAATAATGTATTATATGACATTATTTTCTCTGAATTGGATTATTATCGGATAGGGTAATAACTTCATAATTAACTACGCCTGAAAGCAGAAGTCCAGGGCAAATAATTGCAAGTCTCTTCAGTGCGCATGTCACACAACGAGATGCATTGTGGGACATGTAGTTTATGGGCAACGTGCTTCTGTAAATCGACATGTAACCGTATTATAAACGTATTATATTCTTTGCAAGCTCTTGCGGGCCACATACAATGAAGTCGCGGGCCGGATTTGGCCCCCGGGCCTTGAGTTTGACACCCCTGCCTGCACTAGACCATCGAGGTCTCTTCAGCAATATTCTCATCATGGCATCATTATAAGCTACTTGAAGTTTCCGTAAACTTGCTTTTCTGTAGTTAATATCGTTTCAGCAGCAGATCATTTCCTATTTTTAGTCAAATATGTATGATTGCCACTGAAATGGTAATATAGCTGTATTTAGTTTGGCATCTTCATGTAAGAAAATGTACAAGTAATAACACTTGTATATTTATTGCATCTGAATTACCTTTATTTTTTAAATCTTGAATAGATCACTGGTGCATATCCCAAATATTTGTTTATTGATTTAAAATGTTTTAATAAGAAGTGGTTGATGCTTTTATTCATTAGAAGTATTTATTTTATTATTTTAAAACACTTTATTTTTCGCTACGCACTTCGTTTTAATTCTACTTCCGATGTGAGAGTTCATTCCAAAATGGCGCCGTCCAAGAAGAAACATGCTAGTAACCAGGCTTGTGTTATTCCTGGAGGATTTACAGGTATTTATCATCACAATGTAGTCTTCTATTATCCGATTTCCCCTAACATAGTGATTACATCTCTGACTCGAAGTGTTCTTGCCGTTTTACACGGTGTGAGTGTGTATTACACGTTAGTCTGTTTGCCTGTTGAGACAGTTACTGTCTAATTGTTTTGGCTTTAATTTAATGCTGTGTCTCTTCTCAGTGCTGTCTGTACAGTTCAATTCAGACAGTGTTGCCCAACACAAGCTGTACGTGAAGGAGCACAAAGTCCGGTCGGAGAGGAGCTCACACAGACCGATGGACCGGACGCTGTTTGTGCTCAACATCCCTCCATACTGCTCAGAGGTATTATAGAAACAGTTCAAAGTATGCAGAGTTTTAACAAAATGTGTGATTCAGAGGTGGGAGAAGTACTCGGATGTTGTACTTAAGTAAAAGTAGAAGTACCAGAGTGTAGGGATACTCTGGTACAATAAAAGTACTGCATTCAAAATGTTACTCAAGTAAAAGTAGAAAAGTATCAGCATCAACATATAGTTAAAGTACAAAAAGTAAAAGTAGTCATTGTGCAGATTGGTCCATTTCAGAATAATATATATGATGTTTTATAATTATTGATCATTAAAGTGTTATCAAAGCTGGTATAGGTTGAACTAATTTGTATTATTATATTCAATGCTGTTTAGTTTGTCAATTTTCTCCAGGTGTAACAACTCTTACTAAGTGATAACTGTGTTTTATACTATTATTAGTCCAAATCTGCAAAGTGACTTAAGGTATTAAATACATTTAGTGTAGTAAAAGTACAATATTTAACTCAATACTGACTTGTATTGGAGTACATGTTCTTACTTTACACCACTCTCTGCTTTTAGATGATTTCTTAATATGAAAATGTATTATCCTTTTATATAAAGTATTTCTTGCGATGCTACTGTCTGTGTTTCAGGATGTTGCCAAACAGATGTTCTCTCAGTTCGGTTCTGTTCAGTCCGTGGAGCTGAGGGACCATCCCGGTTCCTCTCAGGACTCTGGACCCAAGATATCCAAGTTCTTCAGACCAGCTGCCAAACAGGTCAGCAGCTCTTTCTGATCGAATGAGAAAACATCCACTATCATATACGGCATTTTTAAGGGTAATTATATGGCTGAAGAAATGGTGAAACATGCTCTCTATTGATACCAGGACAGCAGAAAGACTACATATCTTCTGTTTGCCGACGGAAAACCCTCCCATTCCTCTTCACCGTGGCCAATGATAACAAACACATTAAAAACGTGTCTCTTAGCTATGTAGCATTTGGCTCTTTTAGCACTTAAAATAGTTTGTCTCATTGAAAGCTGGATACTTTCTGTTTCGAGTTTATCTCCGTGGTTGATTGCATGTATTGTAAGTCACTTTGGTTAAAAGCATCAGCTGAATTAAAATTAAATGTTTTTTTGTGTCTTTGTTTGTTCCTTCCAGGGTTTCAAAGTGGGCTACGTTGTGTTTGAAAACTCCTCCAGTATAGCAGCAGCTAAATCACACCCTCATAATGTTCCTCTGGTGGTCTGCACAGAGAAGCGTCGGGTGAAGACAGGAACACAGAGTGAGTGCTACTGTATTTAAATATCATTTTATAATGGGTTTCTGTAGCACTAAATCTTTATGTCTTTATTTGATGTCTTGTAAAGCACTTTGAATTGCCTTGTGTTGAAATGCGCTATATAAATGACCTTGTTTTGCCTCACTGATGAATGTAACTGCAACTAACTTTTATTTTCAGTACCTATTAACCTGTTATCTAGATTTAATTATTTGGTCTATAAAATGTCCAAAAATCGTGAAAATGTTAATCCCAGTTTCTAAAAGCCTGTCTAAGGTTGTCTTGTTCCGTCTTTCCAAAACCCACAGATATTGAGTTTGATATCGAAACAGAGAAAAGCAGGACATTTGTTTTTGAGAGGCTGAAAGCAGCGGTTTTTGCATGAAAAATGACTTCAAGGATTAATCAATTCTCAAATTAGTAAAAATAAATCTTTTGTTGAACACAAAATCCTTGGTTAACCAATCTTTGCAGGTGTAATGTATTAATAGGGCGGTTTGCGTTGCATTTCCATTTTTTTTAAATTAGTCTAGTAGTACAATATCCGTGTTTATCGAGCACATTTAAACACAAATAAAATCCACCTCTTGACTCATTCCTGTTATTTGTTTCTCTTATTTACACCAGAATGGATTCAGCAGTACACAGAATCTTTCATTCATACGGATAACCTGCAAAAAATAGTCGACTCCTTCATGGAGGGCTACGACAAACGGAAAAAGGAGGTGAGAAATCTGCAGCTCATATTGTCTCAATCCCATCTATCCAACATGTGGACTTTAAGATGTGTTTTCTGTCTCTTAGGAAGAGGAGAAGCAGAAGGAGGAGGCCGAGCAGCAACAGGAGGATGAGGAGGGCTGGGTGAAAGTCACCAGAGGAACGAAGGCCCGCCCCCACAGCGAGGCAGCCAATAAGAAGACTCTGCAGAAGGAGATCAGGAAGAAGAAGAGGAAGGAGCTCATGAACTTCTACACCTGGCAGCACAGAAACACCCAGAAAGAACGTAAGTAGACAACGATACTCTACCTGCCGACTATAGTAGGAGATAAAGAAGCTTTTCACAATAAAATGCCTTGTTGGGGCTAACTATGTATATTCTTTATTTGTTTTTCAGATATTGCTGAACTAAGGAAAAAGTTTGAGGAGGACAAACAGAGAATAGCTCTCCTGAGGGCGCAGAGAAAGTTCAAACCTTACTGAATCAACTTCCTTTCATTCCTTGTTTCACTGCTTTAGTGTGTTTTAGTTACTTTATAACCTGGAGCATTTCTTTGTCAATAAACTATTAAACTGACTGACTTATCTTCATCATTATTGAATTAGTGGCACCTCACAGGAGAAGAATTACATTTAGGAAATAATAGGCGCTTTCACACCGGAGTACTTTTCCCTTTTAGTTCCGATAGTGCCTGGAATTTTGCGTTCACATCAAAAAGAGAACTTAGTTCATGACAACTTTTAACCCCTTTTTAGTGCCTGCTAGAGAGGTGGGACTATCCTGGGGAGAAAAAAGTACCAATTTCTGATTGGCTGGGCGAATTGCAAACCACACCCCGTAAAACTCTGAAAAGTTTTTTTCAGCCGCCATTGTATTTGCTGGCATTAGCATTAGCATCGCGCACCAACGGAGAGAGAATAACTCATGGCAACACAAAAAAAAACATGGGAGCAGTGGAGGGATGAGGAGGTGTTGGCGTTCTGGCGATTTACTCGGAAGGCTTCAGTAGAAGCTGCTGGGAGTCCCAGCAGCTTCTACTGAAGCCAGTCCCCAACTCCGGGGACTTCCGGCCGGGGACTTTGGGTGGCAGTATACACCGTGAAGTGGTTTGCGGCCTGCCAGTAAACCCAAAACAGAAGAAGAAGTGACGTCAGCGGCTTCATTTGCGTAATCTTCCCTCAGGGAACTTATTCCGGTGTGAACGCGATCGGCTCTTTAGTTCCATGGGGGTACTAAGTGCCGGGAACTAAGTGCGGCAAAGTACTTGGTGTGAAAGCGGCTAATGTATTTCAATTGGGACCAAGTACCAATTCCGTTTTTTATAAATAAATCTGTTATCGTCAAGTAAAAACAATATTTGGGCCTGGATTTTATAAAAAGTAAGTAGCCATAATGCTTAACTACAGCTTTAGATATTAAAAAGAGGGGAGTTTTGGAAAATCGTTGTTGTACTTTTACAACTTTTCATGAAATGGCAATTTAAAGTTTTATTAAAGAAGGGCAAATTCGCAATAGAAACAGGATTAAAACCGGGTGGTGCACCTTTTTGTTATTATAGACCCCTCTCATTGCCATTACTCCTTTTTGCCAATTGGCATGAAATCAAACACACATACCAACATTCATGACCTCCATGCCAAATGTGAGCCTCCTAGGGCAAAACATGGCTGCCAATGTTTGGTTACATTTGGCTGCTGGGTGATGCTAAAAATTAGCTAATGTTTTGTTTTTTATAAAATAACTAATTAGCCATAGTGTCTCAAGATATTACGATCAATTAAAAGCACAAAACTCGACTGAATGCCAACTACATACGATTAAATGTTTTTTATTGACATTTTTCACCGTCAACTTGTTCTTGGACTCTCTTTGCTTCTGGCTTCTGCCTCTTTCTGATGCTGGACCACACGGTGAACATCAGGATGAAGATCAGAGCAACTCCGACACCACAGAGAATATACATCGTCACCTGAAACACTGAGAAACAGAGGGAAAACGATTTAAAGGTCCCCTATTATACTGTTTTTCATCAATATATTATAGGTCTCAGATATATACAGAACATGTCTCTGAAGTGTTTGGCTCCAAACACCAAACAGATCATTGCAGCATCCCATAATCCCCTCTGTTTCAGCCCTGTTTCCAAAGTGCTGATTCTCTGTCTGTTACTTTAGATGAAAATAAGGAGCCCCTCCCCACGCCCCTCTGAGAGATATTTGGTTAAAAAGAACACAATGGTGATCTATGAGGAGATTCAGGTGATAAGGTGGGGGGGGGGGGTTACCTTGGTTGCTGATTGGCTAATGGTTACACAAGCCAAAACATCGTTATGACATCATAAAGTGGCCAAAATCTGATCAGCTCATTTTCAGACAGGTTTTTATATAAATGGATCAGGACAAAAAGAGAGAGAATCTTTGTTCCTGAAACTTTCAGAGTCTCTTCACACAAAGGGGACACATGTTGATGTAGAAGAGACATGAAGAAGAGGGGACACATGTTGATGTAGAAGAGACATGAAGAAGAGGGGACACATGTTGATGTAGAAGAGACATGAAGAAGAGGGGACACATGTTGATGTAGAAGAGACATGAAGAAGAGGAGACACATGTTGATGTAGAAGAGACATGAAGAAGAGGGGACACATGTTGATGTAGAAGAGACATGAAGAAGAGGGGACACATGTTGATGTAGAAGAGACATGAAGAAGAGGGGACACATGTTGATGTAGAAGAGACATGAAGAAGAGGGGACACATGTTGATGTAGAAGAGACATGAAGAAGAGGGGACACATGTTGATGTAGAAGAGACATGAAGAAGAGGGGACACATGTTGATGTAGAAGAGACATGAAGAAGAGGGGACACATGAACAAGTGGATTTTGCACAATAGGTGACCTTTAAGTATTCTGTTTAGACGTGGTAACTTCAGTGTAGATCAGGACTTACTCTTCTTCTGTCTGGCACACAGACTCTCCTCTGGCTCGGTGCTGTTCTGACCCAGCAGCAGCGGTCCTAAAGAGACCAGCTGGACCTGGTCTGACTCAGCGTCTCTCCTCTGTCTCTCCCCCTCAGAGGCTGTGTGAGCAGAGGATAACGTTTACCACATTTACACACCTCATATCAGGGCTGTAATATAACTAAGTACATTTTCTCAATACTGTACTTTGGAGATACTTGTACCTTAACGGAGTTATATTTTATTTATGCGTTTAAGCTTTATTTTGTTTGTCATCTGTAGTAAAGCAAACATTTCCCAAATTTGGATCAATAAAGTACTTATCTATCTATGTACCTGTCTATCTACGTACCTACCTGTCTATCTACGTACCTATCTATGTACCTACCTATCTATCTATCTACGTGCCTACCTATCTACCGACGTACCTATCTACCTATCTATCTATCTATGTACCCATCTATGTACCCATCTATGTACCCATCTATGTACCCATCTATGTACCCATCTATGTACCCATCTATGTACCCATCTATGTACCCATCTATGTACCCATCTACCTATCTATCTATGTACGTACCTATCTACGTACCTATCTACGTACCTATCTACGTACCTACGTACCTATCTACGTACCTATCTACCTATCTACGTACCTATCTACCTATCTACGTACCTATCTACCTATCTACGTACCTATCTACCTATCTATGTACCTATCTATGTACCCATCTATGTACCCATCTACCTATGTATCTATGTACGTACCTATCTACCTATCCATCTACCTATCTATCTATGTACGTACCTATCTACCTATCTACGTACCTATCTACCTATCTACGTACCTATCTACCTATCTACGTACCTATCTACGTACCTATCTATGTACCTATCTATGTACCCATCTACCTATGTATCTATGTACGTACCTATCTACCTATCCATCTACGTACCCATCTACCTATCTATCTATGTACGTACCTATCTACGTACCTATCTACCTATCTACGTACCTATCTACCTATCTACGTACCTATCTACCTATCTACGTACCTATCTATGTACCCATCTACCTATGTACGTACCTATCTACCTATCCATCTACGTACCCATCTACCTATCTATCTATCTACGTACCTATCTACCTATCTACGTACCTATCTACGTACCTATCTACCTATCTACGTACCCATCTACCTATCTATGTACCTATCTATGTACCCATCTACCTATCTATCTATGTACGTACCTATCTATCTATCTATCTACATACCTATCTATCTATCTATCTACATACCTATCTATCTATCTATCCATCTACGTACCTATCTATCTATCTATCTATCTATGTACCTATCTACCTATCTATCTATCTATCTATCTACGTACCTATCTATCTACGTACCTATCTATCTATCTATAGTCCCTGGAAAGAAGTATATACAATTATGAGAAATATGCAAAATATGCAGAAGCATGCTCACGATACAGGATATGCTAACAAAAACAAACATAAACATATATATTACACAGCACTAGTACAGAAAGTATCAATCATTTTGCACTAATTGAATACATTTGTTTCTGATAACAAGTCATTCTATTTTGCTATTTGAAGTATATCTTCACATTTTTCATTACTTTTGCTGAAGTAGTATTTCTAACTCTGGACTAATTCCGTTTTTTCTTAAATTTTTTATACACAATTTTTACTACAATTTACAAATGAGTATTCCCACTTTTACCCCTTCCACCCTTGCCACATACAAACTGCAATTATTGTAATGTACTCACAGACGATGGAGCATTTCTGTGCACAGTCGACATCATCCGTGCAGATTTCCACCCAACAGAAGAAGTACATCTGATGGACGGAATATACATGTTTTCAGATATATACTTTTGTTTTTACATATTTAGAAACGTGGATGTGATAAGCTTACCTCCTCCACACTGGGACTGCCGGTATGAGGGTCTGAGAAGGCAAACATCTCGACATCAAACCTCCGGACTTGGGAGTGGGTGGTGGTCTTCTGGTTGTTTTCAGGGATGACGCTCCTCATTGTGTCCAAAGGGTTGGGACATCTAACCAGGTGGAGAAAATAATTGCACATTATTTCAATATTTCACAGGGATATACTAACATATTTGAGTCTTTTAGGATTGCACAATTATTCCACATTTCATTGAAGTTGCAATATGGACTAGTGCAATATTCAAATGGCAGAAAGCACAATATTATTGAAATACTTTGTTTACTTCCTGAACGAAGTGACATCACTAAGTAACACTCGCGCTTCTATTGGCTAGCGCTCCAACACATTGTACGTGATATGCTAAGGGAAGGGACATCTCTAAGCTGGTTGACAAATCACAACAGAGCCGGCCAGCTAACCAATCAGAACAGACTGGGCTCTGGTTTCAGACAGAGGGTGAAAAGAGGTGCTGCAGCACAGGCAGTATGAGAACAATAAAGAGCTTTTTGAACATCAAAGCATGGAGACATGTCCCAGTAGAGACACTACATACTGATATACACCTGAACATCAGCAGGAGAGGACTCTTTAAAGTAGAGACACTACATACTGATATACACCTGAACATCAGCAGGAGA